ACAAAATATTCTTGAATATATCTGTGCGTGTGATAGAATTTGACTAATGAACATGCCCTAAAAGGAGACCAACTGAGCATGTGCAAGACTATGTTACATAACCGGGAACCATCCCCTTAGTTGAATATTCATTAGACAGCATGAATATGGATTAGAGAGCAAAACTATAAAAGCCAAATCCCAGTAGGAAGCAGGATTTTTGCTCACTTTGCTGGTCGACCCACACTCCACTGGCTGAGATGTGTATGCTTTACTTTTGAATTAAGCTTACTTTTAGCANAAGAGTTGGGGTTTTTTTAAAGATAAAATTGACAAACCGTTTGCTGGACTAAGAAAAAAAAAGGAAGACTAAAATTAAATCAGAAATTTATAAGTAGACATTACAACTGATGCCACAAAAAGAAAAGAAAAATATGAGACTACTACAAATTAGATAAACTAGAAGAAATGATACATTCCTAGAAACCTACCCCCTTCCAAGACTGAATCATGAAGAAATACAAAATCTGAACAGACTTATGAGTGAGGAGATTGAATTACTAATTAAAAACATGTCAACAAAGAAAAGCTCAAGAACAGATGCCTTCACATGTGAATTCTACCAATCATTCAAAGAATTATTAACAGCAATACTTTTCAAACTCTTCCAATAAATCGAAGAAGATAATACACTTCTAAACTCATTTTATGATGCAAGGTTTACCCATATACCAAAGCCAGACTAAGATATCACAGAAAAAAAAAATACTGGCTAATATCCCTGATAAAGACAGGTACAGAAAGTCCTCAATGATATACAAGCAAACCAAATTCAATGGCACACTAGGATCATACACAATGATTAAGAGAGATTTATCCCTAGGATGCAAGGGTGTTACTGAGATAGGAGATGCTCTATTTCCATGGGATTGGGTTTCGGGACACACTTCTGGGTTACAAGCTGCTTTCCAACGTCTCAGGCTGCTCCTCTCACATCCTCCCCGAGGAAAGTTACGCTGCTAGTCAGACCTATTTTGGGCACCAACATGGGGAAATTGAGGCCACAAGGGGCTGGCTTCTGCAAATCCAGTGGATGGGCATGTTGAGTAGGGAGCTTATATAACCCTAGCAGCTCAGTAAAGTGGAATTTACACTTTGAATGAGCATCCACTACGGATGCTAAAGAGCACAAAATATTCTTGAATATGTCTGTGCGTGTGATAGAATTTGACTAATGAACATGCCCTAAAAGGAGACCAACTGAGCATGTGCAAGACTATGTTACATAACCAGGAACCATCCCCTTAGTTGAATATTCATTAGACAGCATGAATATGGATTAGAGAGCAAAACTATAAAAGCCAAATCCCAGTAGGAAGCAGGGTTTTTGCTCACTTTGCTGGTCCACCCACACTCCACTGGCTGAGATGTGTATGCTTTACTTTTGAATTAAGCTTACTTTTAGCAGGTGGCTGCTCACTCTTGAGCCAGCCTGCACTCTGTACTAAACTTTGCATGTGTATTTCTTACTTTAAAGTAAGAAATAATTAGGAAATAAGTAAGTATGTGTCTATTAAACTTTTTGTAGGCCCTGCCCAGTCTCTGGAGCTATTCCACACTCTCTCTATGAAATCTGTATCTCTTACTAATTATATTAAAACTGTTTTCACGTTCTACTGTGCCTCTGGTTTTGAATTCTTTCCTGTGGTGAAGTCAAGAACTTGGAAAGAGGGTAGGGTGGGTGGAGGCCAGCTATCAGGCCTCTCAGACTCTCTCCTTTGACATCAGTACAACATACACATATCATTAAATGTGATATACCACATTAAAAGAATGAAGTGTATAAATCACATAGTCATCTAAATAGACAGAGAAAAAGCATTTGACAAAATTTAACACTCATTTATGAGAAGAACTCCCAACAAAGTAGATGTAGAAGGAATAAACATGATAAAGACCATATATGAAGACCCCACCTAGCATCATATTCAACTGTTATAAACTGAAAGATTGCCTTCTAAGATTAGGAATAATGCAAGAATTCCCAATCTTATCACCTCTATTCACCATAACTGAAAGTTAACCCAGAGCAGTTAGGCCAGAAAAAGAAGTAAAAGTCATCCAAATAGGAAAGGAAGAAGTAAAATGATCTCTATCTGCAGATGACATGATGTTATATGTTTAAAAAAAAAAAAAACTAAAAAAAAACTAAAGATTCAAAAGCAACAACAAAACACATAGGACTAATATACAAATTTGGTAAAGAAATGATAAATATTTGTTGTTATGGATGTGCTAATTACCCTAATTTGATAATTACTCACTGTGTACATCTATCAAAACATCAAACTTCCCCATCAATATGTACAATTATTATGGGCCAATTAAAAATAAAATAAAACTTTTAAAATATTTTGGAGGTTGAAGGGGCAGGATTACTAATAGGTCAGGTGAAGAAAAAGTTTAATTAGGGATGACTCACCGATTTTGGATTAAGCCATAGATTGGATACCAGTGCCATCAACTGAGTTGTTGAAGAGTTGGGAAGAAATAGGCTTCAGTAGAGGGGTAAAAGGAGTTCTCTTTGAGACATGTTAATTTTGAGAGGCCTGTAATACAGTCAAGTAGATACCTTAATTAAATATTTGATTACATGAATTTGGATTTGAATGGAGAAGTCAGTACTAGGTTTAAATATAGTATTCAGCAGCATAAGAACGGTATACAAAGAAAAATAATATAGACAAAACAAAAGTAGCCATAGGATAAAAAGACACTGATATTGGATTTTACTATATGGAGGTTCTTGGACCTTGGTGCATTTCAACAGAATGTAAAGATAGAAGTTCAATTGTTTTGTCATTATACACTAAATTTGAAAAACCTGGCTTGGATCACCTGAGGAAAAAAAATCATCTTAAGAGACTTTTTTTTTAAAAGGAAAAAGAATGTTTTAAAATGTTTCCTAAATCCTCAGAGAGATTCTAACATTTCCAGAAATGTTTAAAAATCTGAACATAGAATTTGACTTTATGTAGAGGGAGAATGAGGAGGTTACTAGAAGGGGTAGAGGAGAACAGAAGGACAAGATTTGACTCTTTTTGCAGTTAGAGCTGATCCAGGTTAGCAAAGCAGGATCTCATGGCAGACCATGAGTTAAAATAGCCATTGATCCTTAGTAATTGCTGCAGGAGGAATAGGAGCCAATGCTTAATGACCACGCAAAACAATTATGTCTTACTGTTCCAAGGAAGCTAGCTTGAGAGCATGTGGAATAGGAATCTCCTCTTTTAATGTCAAGAAGAAACCTTTTCTTGCATCCAGAGTTTATATTAGGAAGAATAAAATGAAGAGAAAATCACTTAGTGAGTTCTTCAACAATGTTGTTTATATGAGAGAGAAGGTTTCAAATCATATGAGAATGAGGTACCACTAATGGGGAGTTTATGAGTGTTGCATTTCGTTTAATATTGCTTTTTATTTTTCCTCATAATAAATAGGACTTTTGGATGACAAGAGTTTAATCTAACTATATAAAGTCAATTATTTTCACATCTAAATAATATTATGTAGATATTCTTACTCTGGTAAACTCTGCTGAATTTTGGTTTAGTTTTGTGTATGTATTTAGCTCTTTCATATGCCTCATTTAAATTTGTTCTTGTTGGTAATTTAAACAATTTTGACTATCAACCTTTAAATGGGGAGAAGTTGACCACAATTTTCTCTTAAAAATCTTTTGATAATTAATTGCTAAAATTATCATATAACTTATTGTAATCTCCTCTTCCTCACAGGAAATAATGTTACATCCCTTAATATTTTTATGGACACTTTTTAAAGCTGCATTTATTTTATGGTCTTGCATGTTCTTTATGAATTTTTTATAATTAGAAAGCCTAAACTTAATAAAATTTTAATAAAAACCTAAAGACAAATTCCAGAGATATTATAAGAATAGTAAGTATCAATTCAAACCTTTAGATTCATTCAAGTATTTTTTCAAATTTATTTACTGAAATTGACAAATAAAAATGTATGCATTTATTATTTGCAACAGGATGCTTTGAAGTATATATACATTGTGGAATGGTTAAGTGTAGCTAATTAACATACATATCTCACATAGTTATAAATTTTTTGTGGTGAGGACACTTATAGACTCTCTTAGCATTTTTCAGAAATAAAATATATCATTATTAACTATATTCACCAAGCTGTACAACAGATTTGTTGAACATATTTCTTCTACTTATTGTAATTTGGTTCAATTACTTTCAGTTCAGTTTGGCTTCAAATAAAACAAAAGTAACTTACCAAGTGTATTTATCTTGGCTGGGAAGTGGAAGATTTAATAACCATAAACATGGCTGTGGTTGTTTAAACTTCAGGAATGTGGTGTACGTTCACAAGGAAGTAGTGATATCTTCTTTTCTCTGCTTTTCTCTTCTTTTTTTTCTATTTTTCTTTCTTTTTGTGTTTTTTTTTTTTTGGAGGAAAGCTATCTTTAATTTGTATTTACTTGCAAGCAGACTTTCTAACAGTTGTTAGACTTCTTTTTATGAATACTATAGTCCTTTATTTAAATCTGTAGATTGTAGCTTAAGATTTTTCTGAATATACATACAACCTTTACCTCCTTTCATTTTTTTAAAGCCTTCATCGAACATTTGTTTTTGTATCCAAAATTCAGTGTCATTATCTTCTACAACCTTATCTGAATATTCTTCTTTTACATCTTTCTAGGGATCTTTCATTGAATCTTTCATAACCTCAAATTTAGCATAAGTATCCTCCAAGTTCTTCACTGAATCTTCTATCAACTCTTCTATAATATCTTTCTTATATTTTTATGAATCTTTCCCAAACCTTTCATTTGTAGTTTTGATTCTTTTTAAAAATTGTTTGATTAATTCTTTGAACCCTTTTCTTTCCTCCTAGATTAAGGTTCAGACTACTAAAATTGTTTTGTGAAATATGCTTTTGAATTATTCTTTCAGTTGAATGATTATCTCCAAGGACTACTTTCCCTTCTTTGCGTCCTTCTTTGCAGCCTTTTTGTCATCTTTCTTTGATTCAGCAGATGATGTGTCAGTATCTTTCTTGGCATCTTTCTTGGCATCTTTCTTGGCATCTTTCTTGGCATCTTTCTTGGCATCTTTTTTGGTATCGTCCTTTGGTTCACTTTCCGTACCACTGGGCTTCTTTTCAGCTTTGTCTTTTTTACTCTCCTTCTTCTTTGCATCTTTCTTGCTGTCCTTTGATTCATCACCTTTCTTTGCATCCTTATCCTTCTTTCCATCTCCTTTTTCAGGTTCTGAGACTTCAGTTGCATCTTTGCCCTTCTTTGTATCTTTTTTACCCTTTTTGTCATCTTTCTTTGAATCTGGTTTTTCACCTTCAGATCCGGTAGGTGAATCCTTGCCCTTCTTTGTATCTTTTTTACCCTTTTTATCATCTTTCTTCGGAC